GCCACTAGCACCCAAGGACCACCCTGCGCCTCACCCAGCTTACAGCAGCGCAGCTCGGCTATTGCTGCGTGCTCCTTCCCTGCTCGCCCGTGAGAGCGTAGGCGCCAGCCAGCAAATAGCGCAGCAGCGCTTGCGCAGCATGTAGCCAGCACCCGAATGAAGAATGAGGAGTCAGGCCCTTTGCTATATCGAAGTGGCCTGCCTGCGTCCAGTCCCGGGAAGCTTCCAGTAGGCCCCGGTGGCCTGAGGCCCAGTCACAAACGAAAACAAGCCCTGGGCCTGAGGTGGTTGCATGCGCCCAACCGCCTTTGGCCTGTGTTTGGCCCGGTACCTGTATCCAGCCCAGGGCCTGCTTTACATACCTTCACACAGGTGGCCCAGGGCCTGCTTTACATAACTTCACACAGGTAGCCCAGGGCCTGGGTTCACTCAACCAACTGGCGCTGCGCAACTGCCTGAATTTCGTTGAGTTGCGTGGCGGCCACAATAGGGCCCTGAGGGCCTCGTCGAGCCTGCCTTCACTTAGGGCGGCCGACGGGCTGCAAAATGGGGCCTTATGGGCTTATCGAGGCAGTGGCCTCGCATTCCCTCCTCCTTAGCTTCAACAGTCCTCTGAGAAGCTCAGTCTTCAATCATGGGGCGCTTTCCCTTCTGCAGAGATTTCTCATAGTGGGCTACAACTTGAGGAGCGGTCTGCATGAGTTCTTCCCTCGTGAACCAACGGTCCTCCTTGGGATCAGTATGATGTCTAAACCGAACGCGGTACTGCATCTTCGGGTTCGGAGGACTTTCCTGCAGGTCTCTGAGCTGGCAGCTCCCTGTCATCCACGATGTCATCGATGTCCACTTCTCCATCCATGGTTGGGGGCAGCATTGAGCGGCGAGAAGGAAACTGATCAGTCTCTTCGAAAGGTGCCAGCTTGGAGGCGTGAAAGACAGGGTAAGTACGGAGATGACCAGGGATCGGCATAACATAAGATGGCCCATCCGGATCTGTCCCAACGATGTCCAAGACTTCCCAGGGTCCAAAGTACTGGAGCATGAGTTTGCGGGAGATCCCATGCTCCTGTCCCAGTTCTGAAGACTTAACCCAGACCCTATCCCCAACCTGAAATGTAGAAGGCCGGCGTTGTCTATTTTCAGACTCTATCATTGCAGCCTGCGCCTTCTGCATCTGCTCTACAGCCTGCTGAATCTTCTGTTCATAGCAGTAAGCAAATTCTAAGGTGCCTGGTGCAGCAGTGGATTGATTCTCAGGGAGAAGAAAGTCTAGGGACAGTCTAGGCTTAAATGTTAGCAGTAAGCTGTTTGGGCTCACCCCTGTGGCGCTGTGTACAACGTTGTTGTACAAGCTGGCGATGAGGGCAAGCTTCTCATCCCAGTCCACCTGGTTGGGCTTGATGTAGTGCCTCAACAGGTGTTGTACAGCACGCTTCAGTTCCTCGGCCTGTCCATTGGCCTCTGGGTGATTCCCAGAAGTCATTTGCAACTGAGTTCCCTGCTCTGCAGCAGCGGCCTTCCACAACTCGCTGGTAAATCGGACATCCCTGTCACTGACAATAGACTTCGGTAAACCAAAGTCTCTAACCCAGTTCTCTTTGAACTTTCGGATCACATACTCCGTCTTTGCTGTTTCCGGCATTGCTACTAACCTAGCATACTTACTTAATCTATCCACGATAACGAAGATAGGACGCATCCCACTCTTGCTGGTGATCAGAGTATCCATGAAATCCATGGACAGACTCTCACCAGGCCGTTCCGGAATCGAAAGGGGCTTCAAAAGCCAGAGAGGAGCCTAGGTACGTGGTTTGTCCCTTTGACAAACTTGACAAGTCTCCACGTACAGGTGGGCATCTCGCATCATCGTGGGCCACCAGACCCGCTGCAGCAGATTGGCTGCGGTCTTCTTATACCCAAAATGGCCGGTGGCATCATGGCACTCACCTAAAAACAAACTACGCAAAGACTCGCTGTTTGGGACACACAATCGTTTATTCCCTTCCTTCTCAAGGAACAGCAAGCCATTGACCAACTCAAACTCGGCAGAAGTCTTCTTGTCCTTCGCCTCAAGTCTGCGTATGATCTCATACATGAACTGGTCCTCGCGATAGGCTTCCACCAAGGACTGAGTAACATTGTCCGTCAAATCGAACTCGGTAATCAGCGCACATGAGAAATCAGGTCTACGCGACAAGGCATCCGCAACCTTGTTGTACTCCCCTTTCAGATACTGAGGGTCAAAGTCGTATTGCTCAATGACTTCCATCTGAGGGTCAAAGTCGTATTGCTCAATGACTTCAATCCAACGCTTGAGAACGTCAGAGAGCACCGGTTGAGTTCTCATTCATCTCAGGGTCTGATGATCAGTCCTGAGGATGAAGAACCTCCCAAGGAGATAGTGTCTCCAAAGGAGTGGCCTCTATGCTATAGTTCTTAATGAAAGTCCTATAGTAGCCTACCATTCCTAAGAAAGATCTCATCTCAGTCACAGACTAAGGTCGTGGCCAATCACCAATGCTGGCCACCTTCGCGTCATCGAGCTTCAACACTTCCGCGCAGATCTCATGATCCAAGTACAAGACACGGGTGCGGCCAAACTCGCACGTCTCAACGTTAATCTTGAACTTGTGCTTTCGCAGGAGAATGCGGACTTCATCCAAATGTGCAACGTGCTCCTCGATAGTCTTACTGAAAATAAGTTTGTCATCGAGGTACACGATGACAAACTTATCCAAGTACTCATGGAATATCCGATTCATAGCCTGTTGAAAGGTTCCAGGAGCATTGCAAAGGCCAAAAGGCATCACCACAAACCCGTACAGACCGCACGTGGTCTGAAAGGCGTTTTTGTGTTGATCCTCGGTCCGGATTGCAATCTGATTGTACCCGGACTTCAGATCTATCTTACTGAAGTACCGGCACCCTTCCACTCTATCTAGCAGATCATCGATGCGCGGTAGGGGCTCTCTGTTCTTTACAGTGATGGCATTAAGGCCCCTATAGTCAATGCACATCCTAAGTGTACCCTCCTTCTTAGGTACGACTACTACTGGAGATCCGGAAGGAGAGACAATCGGCCGGATTCAACCCTTCTCTACGAGTTTCTCGAGTTGGCGGCGAAGCTCATCAAGCTAACCTGGAGACATCCGATAGATCCTACCCATCGAATCTATCGCATGGACGACCTCCCTCTCAACAACCCCCATCGGCTCATCAAATAGATCAGGGTACTTAGCAACTACTCCCTCTATCTCTGGCGGCATTTTCACCGGCTCTCCTGCAGCAGAGACATAGACTAAATACATACCCTCCTCCTGATTTTGCTTATAATAATTGTAGAACGCAGCCGCACACATGCACCCATAGGACTTTATCAGACTACTAGCTTTGAACTTATATAATTTGGTCGTCCCTCCACCTGGCCAAGTGTGTTTGACCACTTTTCGGTTCCAATCAAACAGGGGTTGTGCCACAGAGAGGTAGTACATACCTAGTAGCATATCCATTCGGAGCTCGTCACTCATTAGGAACGAGACGCGATGTCTCAATTCCCCTCCCGTGTACGGAAAACAACACTCAACATCCTGGAGGTAGTCGTTGACTACCATGCGCTGTTTGTTGGCACAGGTCGACTCCACATGTTGACTCAGGCGCTGCACTCGCCCCTGTAAACGCAGCCTCTCAACGCAAGCGCAACTAATAAAGTTCCTTGTCGAGCAAGTATCATAATAGGCCCCGGCCTTGCGCCGCCAATGACAACCTCGTTGACGAACATCTCACCCTTAGGGGCTTTGACTAGGGCCGTCCAAGGACTCAAACACAAGGGGCTTTGACTAGGAAGGCCGAGCAAGTCTGATCTAGACCACTCCACCTCTAACTCCTCTAAGGACTCAAACACATTCATCGAACAGAGGCTCGATGGGTCTGAACGTGTTTGCGGGACGGCACTGGAGTCAGGAGCTTGGGCCATCTTTCGAGATGGTGAGGGTGTCTACACCACCTCGACCCTAGCAGGAACAGCTACTATACCTACTGGCCCAACGTGTTTCCCGGAGCACTGCCTGAAGTACTGGCAACATTGCTACCAACGGGATGAGAGGGTCCCAACACCTGCCCCATCGTAGGCGGGATCTTTTCGGTTACCTTCTTGTTGCGGCACTTGTACTGGCTATGGCCATATTGACCACAACGAATACAGGCCTACCGTGAGTACCGGTCTCTCCACACGTCCTCAGTGAGACCCGCTTTCTCCCATGGAGGAGCGTTGGGGTGAACTCGACTCCTTGACCGGGAGCCTCCGCGGCGTCTACCGGTCGCCTTCTTTCTAAGCAACGGCAACGACTACTCCACCCTCTGAAGCTTCTACGCTGCCCGCCTCTGAACCTACTCCTTCCTACAAGTGTTCGTCGACTTCAATGGTAGAACCATCGTTATCGACAAACATTAAGCGACCCTTCGCCTTCCAGTTGGGAGGCAGTGTTTTCTTCCTCCCATCCGTAGTGGGTGCCTGTCCATGCCCTATCTTAGCCTCAAGGTATAGGGCCATATTGATGTTAGCCTCCCTTGCCAACTGGTTCTTGAGGCGATGAGAAGCATCTCAGGTACGAGCTAAGTAAGACTTGGGGGTCATAGCGCACCCCTGCGACACAGATCAAACGCTCAACAGCGTCGGTGGCTTCCCTTACTGACTTCAACTGCCGCGTGTGCAATGTCAGGATCGCATCAGTGGGCCCTTCGGGCCTCCTGAGGATCATGCCACCTTTCCTCCACAATCTTCAGGAACACCTCCAATTTTTGGGTGACCGCCCAAGCGCGAAAGTCGTGACCATAGCCCTGGAGCTGCACTAAACCACTCAACCATCTTGTTGCACTACCCTCTAGGTAGGAAGCAGCCACAGGCACTTCTTCGTGCGGCAAGGTAAGTTTACACCTGACATAGACTGGCACTGACCTCAACCATGTGTCGAGTTCTTCGCCTGTCTTGTCCCCTGTGAAGGGTTTTGGAGCGGCGATGACCGTCTTTGGAACCCATTGTGTTTGTCCCGGTCCTTGCATCACGGCGGGCTGTTGACCCTGTGACACAGGTTGCTGTGCTAGCTGCTGAGGCTGTGTGCCATGCGGCTGCACAGGCTGCGAGACAGCAGGCTCCGTGGTGACCGCAACCTGCAACGTAGTTTGGGTGAACACAATCTGAACAGGAACCTGCAAACTGGTCCCTACTAATACCCCTCCTGACAGTGGCATGCCAAGGGAAACGATCGCTACCGATGACGGGGCTACATATGGAGATACACCAGTCACCGGTGGGACGTAAGGAGAAGGATGTACAACGGGCCCGGCACCAGGCCCGGACATTGGCAACGTTACCTGCGTTCGCCCAACCAACAGGGCCAGAATTTGCTGGATGTCCTGGAGGATGGTTGTCTGATGGTCCTGCATCTCAACTACATTCAGAAGCACAGACCGCACGAGTCTCACGTCATCAGTCACGTTCGCCAGGTCCATCTCCTCTAACTCACTAACGTCCGCTTGTCCACGTTGCATCTTGGCTCTTCTTCTAATCATTCTATCTTTCTCCGCTTTTATATCTCCTAACGCCTTCTGTAGTTGTGCCTCTTTTAGAGCTGCCTCCTGTATGGCGATCTCATCGGGGGTCAACACCAATGGTTGGCTCCCCATTACGCCAGTGGACTGACTCTCGGTCTGTGCGACCGTTGACCCAACAAACCCTGAACTACCCGCCTAGGTAGATTGCTGTGCTGAGGTGGCCATGGCTTCTGAAGTTGCGGTTTCACTCACTAGTGTCCTGCTAGCCTCTGCTGCTCTAGCCCTCCTGTGCTGCTGCTGCCTCTCCGTAGGCTGGCGTAACAGATGTCTGTCGCCCTCTGGTCCTAATGCCAAATGGGCTACCGGGCGCCTTGCCGATCACAAGATCCGGTCATCCGGTTGTTGTTCCTCCCTATCACTCATAACATAAGCTACAGACCTATACACAAGCTCCACTAATGCACTCTAGGTGCCTACCGCAGCGTAGTGCACAGACTACTTAACTGGTGGTTGTTTCGGAGACTCTACATTCGGTTCAACAGGTAAGTCAGATTCCTACAAATAAAACTATTTTTAGTTTGACTAGTTCACAAACAGAAGCATCATGAACAAGAAGCAGTCCTAGCTGATGTTGTCTGTCAGATGTTAATGGCGGTACACCTAGCTAATCTACAAATAAAACTAGAATTATTTGTGTGTAGGACAACATCGAATTTTCTCGAACTTATAACCTGGAATTTACCCCTCCCTTAGTTCCCCTGCGTATCACTTGACGTCAGCGTCCCTGAGCAATCCGGAGGCGTTGCGTGTCTAAAGGTGTGTGTCCAGCCCACCCCTGTGCCTCGAGTATCTGCTGAGCTGGCCAGCCCTGCACTGGATTATCCTTGCGTGCAGCAAGCCTTACAACCATTGCCTGATCTAGAGGCAATTTAACGTCCGCCCCCAAGTGACTCCAGGAATTCTTTTACGTCACAACCGGACGACAATCACAACCAGTGATTCCCCTTCCGGTGCTTTTTTAAAGACGCCCCGTCTCGTCTCCCTCAAGGGCTGGCCTGCCCATCAGTACCCCATCTAACAGCGCAGCAAGCCGAATGCGTGCTCTACTACCTGTGGGTTGCCATGGTGACCGTGACCCAGTACTTCGTCCGGGGCCCTTCAGAAAGCTCCGCCCATCTTCTCCCAGATGCTCCACGTGAACATTTCTGACTCTCAAGGTTGAACGCACTCGACACCTCACAATGAGAGGACTCTCAAGAAGGAACACACAACCTCATAGTAAGAAGTGTCAGAGAGGGTTGCCATGGTGACCGTGACCCAGTACTTCGTCCGGGGCCCTTCAGAAAGCTCCGCCCATCTTCTCCCAGGTACGGTGTCGAACGCATCGGCTCCCGCCTTTTTTTTTGCAAAGGTTGGGAGCCGTCCCGACCATGTCACGCAGGAGTTTAACAAAATCAAAATTCAACTCGGGGACGACACAAAATACTAATCCCGCGAACCGCCGCGGTTGCGTCGCCTCTTCGCCGCTCTAGCCAGGTGCGCCAACTGTACATCCCGCGGTCCCCTACGACAGGATAGATTGGGCATAAGCTTTCCCTCCCTAAGGGACTGTCACCACCCTTAGGGGCGTATCCCTACCGAGCTACTGACCCACGTGCGAAAGCTTTCAGCCGAGGGCGTTTGCTCGTTCGTTGTAGTATAGATACGCTTGGTTAACGCCAAGCGGACCCGAACGTCGTCCGTTCCTAGGGCGTTGATCTCCTAGGTGCGGAGCAAACGTCGATCAACTAGGACGGTCTCAACCAACCGTGAAACCCAACTCGATCCTAATCCCTTTAACACGCAATCAAAAAAAAGTTGTAACAACCATACATAGTTATATCAAAAGGAATTGACCGCAGTAGATAGGATGGTATGTCCAATCAGAAATGATAACTAAAACAAATTGAATCCTCATTTAAAACATCCATTATCACGAGATCAAAATACAATCCGACCGCCTCAGGTTGAATACCACAAAACAAACAAACATCCGCCAACAAGAAGTTGATTAATCGAAAATAACATTGATGCTGCCAACATGGTAGTCGGACAACCTCAGTTTTCACCTGATGAGACACGTTGCTTAAGTCTTTCATTCCAGCCTACTGCCGACCTGAGATTCGACGCACATACCAATATTCATTTGTTTTCAATCTTTTGGATGACAAGCTGTTTTGCGGAATGATTCTTGATCAGGGGCATTGCTTGAGGTGTTGCATGCCTCTCCCTCTAGGAAGTGGTCTGGGGCACTCCTCGCCCGAGCACAGAAATCGGGCCGTCTCCACCGAATCGGCATGGTACCCTCCCGTAGTACGGTCCACTCTGGGTCGATAACAGGGTCGGCTCCTAAAGCAACGAACCCCCGTCCCAGATGCTTCCTAGAGATAGCGGATGCGTCCACTGCAAGTAGCTTTCAGTTATTCTTATTTATCCTGGGTTCAAGGTAGCTTGGACGAAAAGAATTCAGGATAGGTAAAGAATGAGAATCATTTAGACAGGCTTATAGAGATAAGGTCATTCGGGAGAGAGAGGGTCAAGCCTAGGGAAAGACTAAGTTTGATAATCTTCATCCTCATTATGTTCAAGTCTCCCTTCACAACACCATTGAAATTATTCACTTCAAAATTCAAGTACTTTTGTTATGCAGGCAGGTGAAAGATAGAAAAAAGACAATCCTTTTCTTTATCTCAAATAGGCACAATCAATCTCCTTTGCAAGCATCCTGCTACCTACCTGCACAACATGCATAGAAGACAAGTTCAAAAGAAAACAGTACAATCCCAGACTCACGTCAGACCTTTCCATTCACATGCATGACTCGCACAACTTTCTCTACCTTTTCTTTCGAATGTTCAAGACAACAGGGTCAAGCAAAGTGTGAGTTCACACAGGTGTGACAGGAAATCTGAGTCAATCAACTGACTGACCTTGAGTGAAGTTTGATCCGGCTCACTTAAGAAAGTCGAGTACGATTCCGATAAAAAGAAAATGATCGCCGTAGAATATGCGGCTCAACTCGTAAGTTTTGGACTTCCTCCTGAATGATGGTCCGCGCCTTTCTCGCCTTTCTCCAAGTGCCCAATCACACCAAGGGTTGGGCCCACTTAGATGACTGAATGAGATAACCCTTAAAGAGGGCGCTCCCATGATCAAAACCCACATCGCCTCAACATCCCAGACAGTCCCAACGCAGTCCCAACTGCACCACGTGCTCCAAGGACACCTCCCCAACCAACAAGTCCATACCGCCTCAAATCATCCTGTCCGCTCACGATCACCACATGAACATGCCGGTCCCGATTTCAACAACGGGTCCTAGTCCCGAAATGGTCCCAGATCGTCCCAATGCAATCCCATACTATCGCCCACAATACCAAATGGTCCAAAACTCAAAACCGTTTGCACTACGCAGCGCAAAAAAAAAAAAAAAAAAAAAAAGGTGGCCCCCGATGAAACCCACAGGTGCCGCGGGCCCCATAATTATTTCGCCGCGTGCAACCGCTCTGCACTTTCTGCATGCCATCGACCCACGCACCACTGTCGCACAGTCCCAACCACGGACCAGCACTAGCCCAACCTCTAGGCGACACTGAAATCCACCATGACCGTTGCGCAGCACAAAAATAATGTGGGCCACTGCTTGCTGCGCCGTTAAAACCGGTACCATAACTGCCCCGCAACACCACCGCCAGATCGCACACAAAAAAAAACTGCCTCCACTGTGACGCAAGAGACCCACAGCATCTTCCCTCACAATAGTGCTGCCGACGTGCCGCCAGCATAAGCCCCCAAAAAACTAACGTCGATACCACCACCAATCTCGATAGCATGATGCCACCGAAAAATAATGCTGCCACCGTGCCAAAAAAATGGCAACACTTCCCCACTGACAACGTCGCTGCCGCCATGCCAAAAACAACCGGCAGCACTTCCTCACTGACAGCGTCACTGCCGCCGTGCAAAACCGGCAGCGCTTCCGCATCTCTGTCGTTAAAACCAGTGCAGCCGACGCTTCCGCGTCACAACCAAAACGATCACAACTCCGCGGAAAACATTCAACAGCGCTCCCACAGTACGCTGTCGAGCGCATCGGTCCGGCGCCCCTCAAGGGGCAGCGCGGGACCCTCCCGGCCGCGTCACGCAGAAGTTGGTTTTAATCCTTCGTCGCGAATATATATGGAGCTTTTGCAAGCCGCTCCGACCGAGTGCGCCAGCCATACCTCTCGCGAGCCCCTACGACAAGATAGGGCGGGCCTACGCAAGGCACGACTTGCCTCCACCTTACGGGAGCTGTCACCTCCCTTCGGTGGCCGTATCCCCGTCGAGCTACCAGTCCACAGTACGAAATCTAATCAGCTACAATCGCAAAGGTGGACCAGTTGAGGGCGTTTCTCGTTCGCTGTAGCATAGGGGGTAAGCGCATTACTACGCCTCTATGAGACCCACACGCGAACCGGCATCTTGGGGGGGCTGACGTCCCAAGCGCGACTCGTCGCCGGTCGACTAGGACGCATCCCACATGCCACGCGCACACCGCTATAAAGAATACAAAAATAAAAACCCACATATACTTACACACACATACAAAACGATGTTGGAGAAACAACGCGACAACACTCCTAGTCCCTTAGTAGCCACCCCATAACTTTCCGATGCCGAAATTGGATAGGCATCGCGCGCGAGACTTAGTATAAAACCGCGCGGACGCAGGACTAACTCATATCGATTCGCAATGCAAGCGTATGCAAGCGATCGCAATGATGGTGTACTAAGTAGTACCCATACTCATGCGATCCTCGTTAATCTCGAGGGTCACGTTTGACACTCATGTGTCGGCTGACACGCGCCTTGAGGTTTAATCTCTTGACGCTGGACAACCGCCAAGTGCGATTGAAGACCACACCCTCTTGTGCACCCTGCGGACAGGTTTATACCTGTAGTGGTAATCGTCTCTTATCGCCGTGGAGACCAGCTCCATCATCTAGGACCTGGAAAGAAGTCAAGGGGTTTGGCTTTGACGGCTACCACAGACTACAACGTCCAACTATATAATTCTAAAAAGCAAAAATAGGTCGGAGGGCCTCCACATCCCAAGACCTCAACCTTGGGTAACCTTGTCGGTTGGCACCAATGGCCTTTCTCGACTCCGGACACACTCGTACACATACGAATCACCTAATCCCATAACTCCAGACACTGGGCGAGGCGAACGTCGCGCGCAGGACTTTAGTATAAAGTTGCGCGGTCGTAAGCCCTTCCTACACCAACCGGCGATGCTAGTCATATGCGGCAATCGCAGTTTTGGCCTCGCGATATTGAATGGCTGAAGGAATATATCGTGAGGGGTTGCCCTTCACAATATTGAACGGCTGAAGGACATGTCGTTCAACCCTCGCGACATTTTTGCCCTCTAGGTTGGGTGTCTCGACGGGCAGGGCAAATAGGCTCTGCTCACGGGAAGATTCCGCCCCTGCAGAGTCTAGGGCCTGGGATGTCCTGGACAAGGACCTCGAATCCAGGCCCAGGACTAACATCCGACTAAGAAACCCCTAAGAAGCATACAACCACGTAGAGGGGGTTTTCTTTCTTCCCTCAATCCCAGCCCCCAATTTTTACCTTTAAGCGTGGCCCTTCAGACCACGCGAACTCCCAACATAGGTACACACATATATATATATGAGGTATAAGTATGTGACGATCACTTCTAACAATCACAGTGGGGCTCCTCACAACCATATGTTTATGTGTGATCGCAGGCAGTCAAATCCAAAATTCGAACCACAGAACATACCTGCAATCACATCAAAGAGTCGAACAAAAGTCCACACACTACACGGAGTCAACCCCAACCAMTCACTATACTCATACCCCTCGCTTTAGCCATGCAAGCCCCAGCCTCCTGTCCAACCAACCATAATTAAATACTCAGTACCTTTGTTAAATGACCATTCAATAAAAGTCCGGGTGAAACCTTAACAAAACAATAAAATCACCATGGCCAAAGCCTTTTAGGTTGAGTATTGAGGGTGCGTTGGAATGAGGTCGTAAACCGACGAATCGGCAACCGAATTGTTATCGGTGATAACAGAAGGCGATCCATGTACGATCGAGCTGAATCTTATCCTCATCTCAAATCAAACGCCCAGAAGGACCTGTAACATAAGACAGGCCAACCCCAAGCTAGATCTACGAGTCCAAATCAAGCCTAACCTCCATATCTCAATTCTACCAAGGGTCATTCTACTTAATTTAAACCTAGGTCTATCCTTAAACCAATGTCTAAGAAAAAGGGAGGTATTTTGGCAGGATCTCCTCTATACAGCGTGAACTGCCAAAATTGCCACCTGTCAAAATATAATCTAACTCCTCTAAATTTAGAAAAATTTCGGCAGCGCTTCCCATAGGAAAAGTGGCTTCGCAGAATTTATAATAGCCCAAACATGAAAGCAAGAATAATTCCCAGCTCTGAAAAGCCAAACTTGCCTAACTTCCTGAATTAGCAAAAATTTGGGCAACACTTCCTTTAGAAAGGTAGACTTCCCAGATTCGTACTAAGTCAGATACGAACTCAGAATCGATACATGATTTCAACTTACGACAAAATTTGACGAACTCCTTAGATTTGTAGAAATTTCGGCAGCGCTTCCCGTAAATAAAGTGTTATTCCAAGATTTATACAAAGCTAAGGTCAGAAAGAAAAGTGACTTTGTCTTCTCCAGGTCCAATTTTGTCTGACTCCTTGAGATAGTAAAAATTTGGGTAGCACTCCCTTTAGAAAAGGAGACTCTCAAGATCTTTACTAGGCCATAACAGTTAGACAGTCTCCTTGGTTTTGTAGAAATTTCGGCAACGCTTCTCGTAGAGAAAGTAGCGAGCAACTAAAACAACTACCTATCAAACAATAAACTTATTCCAAAATGCAGGAATTGAAATTAACTCCTATGGCTCTAGCACAAGGCGAGCAACTAAAGCAACTATCAAACTGAAACTCAGGCTAAGTAGTAGTCGCTCTCTGTCTCATGCAGGCCAAACCACAAAGGTAAGTACTCTCACCAATCCCAAGTTATTTAACATAAGATAGTTCACGAGTCTTCAGATAATTTATCCCTTATACCCCACTTACATATGGCACAAATGCTAGACCATTCGGCTTGGAAACAGTGTCCAACGTGCCTTACGACATACACAGACAGGTTGCACTACTATTTTTCTCTTCTTTGGGCACTTGACTACACCATTCGGCTTGGAAACAATGCCTAGACGCCCAAAACTGTTTAATATCCCAAGTTTAATAATTCTCTGATTTTGTTCTCAAAATAAAATGCAAATATGGGAAAGGTACAAAACCATTCGGCTTGAAAACATTGATCAGCTTGCCTAGTCTAATTCCAATTATACTTCGTAATTTCCCTGCTCTTCTTACTGATATGGCTTGACGCTGGGCCATTCGGCTTGGAAACAATACCCAGCTGCCAGTTTACATGCAGATATATGTAAATACTTCCTTTTATACTCAGGTTGTCCTTATGTGCGTGGTTTTCAGGCTAAGCCATTCACTTAGAAACAATGCTAAACCTTAGACAAAAAATCATCCCTCAAAATAAAACAAGAAAACCCTTTCACATCAGGCAAACCCTCAGAAAATAAACATTTCAACCAGGCCATTCAGCTTAGAAACAATGCCTCGCCCTTCAGATAACAGTAAGATAAACACAGCCCTAGGCCATTTAGCTTAAAAACAATGCCCAATCCTTGGTTGACCCGGACAAACGCATGCAGTCTGCCTTCCTCCCACCTTCCCCCAGTTCATTCGTTAGTCTGCTTTCAGTCAAAATAAAGAGAAACTTAAGCTTCACACACACACACACATTCTTTCCGTTCAATCTGATTAGACCTGAATAGAAAGCAAGAATCATAGGGACAATATCATGCATACATCAGCCAAACTAAGGGGGAGATAAACAAACAAAAGTATAGTGGGGTCATACAGATAGGGATGGTTTACCTGATGGTTCCCTGCCTCCAGAACCTCGCCTAGGTTCCGGCATAGCTCTCGCAATCGGTGGGTGGACTCCCCACAGAGTCTTCATGTCGTCCTACGGGTTGCAATCCCAAACTGCAGCAGCCTGATCAAAATCTGAAGTCAAACTATTGACTTCAACTCCCTTATACCCTTTTCAGATTGCCACAATGACACCCCCTCTTCACAGTCTAGCCATCCCTTTTGGGTTCCAGCACCTCTCCTTAGCCCCTCCGCCGCAATATAGCAGCCTGCGCCAACTAGCAACATCCAACAGTAGCTCGCATCAGTATGCAGCAGTATGCCCGCAGTGTGTAGCAGTGTGCAGCGACCAGCAGCAGCCATAGTTTGTGCACAGTCGAAAGGCCAACAACAACAGCCTGTCTGGCTCAACCAAGCGGTCTGGCTGCGAATATCTGGTGGTTGACTAGAGCGGAGAGTGTGTGGGCGCGCAGGCTTTGAGGCACGAGTGATTTTTTTGTTGATGATTGAAGTGTCGGCGTGATCGCCGACCTGATTTTTATTTTTGATTAAGTTAGGATTAAAAAGATTTTGTCTCTTTGACTGGT